CAATCTACTTCCATAGTGATACCGCCTCGGAAACCCAAGGAGGGGTCACTATGAGTCGGGTTTGACTCAATGGCACACAATAACAACAACAACATATAGTGTAAGAAGCTCTGGTGAAGGCACTTGTCTGCTACCAAAAAAGTTGGTAGTTCAAACTGACCAGCCATTCCATGGAAGAAAGATGGGGTGGTCTGCTTCCATAAGGATTTACAGCCTTGGAAACCCAGTAAACCAAACACACGGCTGTCAAGTTAGACCCAACTCATAGCAACCCCCTCCTTGGACTTCCGAGGCATTATCACTAGGAAATAGATTGCCAACCTTCCTTCTGAGGAGTGGCTGGTGGGTTTGAACCGCCAGCCTTCTGGTTAGCAGTCAAGTGCCTTAGCACTATGCCACCAGAGCTCCCAGGAAACCCAATAGGGGTCACAATAAGTTGGAATTGACTTGATGGCAGTGCTTATATATATATATATTGTTGTTGTTGTTGTTGTTTGCCATTGAGTCGGCCCCGACTCATAGTGACCCCTCCTTGGGTTTTCGAGGCAGTATCACTACGGAAGTAGGAATGCCCAACCTTCCTTCCGAGGAGTGGCTGGTGGGTTTGAACCGCCAGCCTTCTGGTTAGCAGTCAAGTGCCTTAGCCACTATGCTACCAGAGCTCCTATATATATATATATATATTCTGGTGGCATAGTGGTTAAAGCATTCAGCCAGAAAGTTGGAGGTTTGAACCAGCAGCTGATCCGTGGGATAAAGATGAAGCAGTTTGCTTCCTTAAAGATTTATAAACTTAGAAACCCTATGGGGCAGTTCTACTCTGTCCTATGGGTAGCTATGAGTTGTAATTGATTGGACAGCAGTGGGTTTGGTTTAGTTTGGTTTTATCTTGCTCCTGTTGAAAATGCATGGCTCCAAGTCCCTCCTGCTGACAATGGAGGCCACCTCTCTTGGCAGACACCCAGGAGAGAGAAGGGGTTGGGGACCCTATACCCTAGACCTCCATCTCGGGGCCCCTGTGTGTCCCAGGCTTTGTTCATGGCTGATCTTATGAGCCTGGCACATCGTAGGAGTACAGTAAACATTTACTAAATCCCTGAAGCACTTAGGGTCTGGGTGGGTGGCAGAATCTCCGTTTAAGCATCAGCTGAGATGTCTAGAGGAAAAAGGGTCAGCACCCTTGTCTTCCCAGGGCAGGTAAATGGAGTTGGGTTGGACCAGCGTGTGGTGGTGGGGAGTCCCTCGCCACCATCCTTATTCCTTAGACTGTGCTGCCACCCAGTGGCTGTTTACCTGTACTGCCATCTCCTCGAGGCGGCTAGCCTTTATGGGGTGTTGCGGGTCTCCAGCTCCATTCCCAGACTTCTCCAACCTTTCCCAGCAGCAAGATGGGCCTGGAGACACTCGCTGACAGCTTTTGCCTCTGTATTTCTGTGAGCAACACACACGTCCTCACCGACAGCCTGGTGGTGGCTTTCCACGAGGTGCTGTTGTTGTTGCGTGCCACTGAGTCAATTTCCGACTTACATCGACCCTATCGGACAGAGTAGAACTGCCCCATGGGGTTTCCTGGGCTGTACTCTTTACGGGAACAGATCGCCAAGTCTTTGCTTCTGTGGAATGGCTGGTGGATTTTGATTAGCAGCTGAGGGTTTAACCATTGCGCCACCAGGGCCCCTCGTGTGAGGTACATTGACCAGGCATTGAACCTGGATCTTCCTCACGGAAGCCAAGAATTCAACCATTGAACCGTCACTGTCCTTGAAGTGCTGTTACTGTACCCGTTTCACAGATGAGAACATCTCATGAAATACGTTTGGAAAATGCTGTATGCTCTCTCTTCTGTCTGAAAGAACGTGCCACGTGAGTGATAAATGAACAATAAGTTAATAAGCAAATGCATCTGTCACATTTTGTTAACTCCACCACTTCACACTCTTATTTGATCACAAAGCCCTGTTTTGGAGAAATATTTGGTGACAGCTCATGGAATCGAGGCGCCTCCTTTCGGAAATGCTGAGTTTAGGTCATGCTGTGCGTCTACCCAGGTCGTAAAAGGCTGCAAAACCCCGTCAGGTGAAGGGGAGTGGGAGGAGTCTGAGATTGCGTTGCCTGGAGAAGAGCGTGGAGGTCTGGGCTGGGAAGCTGCTGAGGGCGGCATTCCTGCTGATCTGAGGAGGCAGATGGGGACTTCAAGCCCAGGAGCTTTGTAACCCACCAGAGTTGCCCGCCAAATGGGTTGCTTTGGGAGGTGGTGCAGGCCACATCCCAGAAAGACTCAGGAGAGGCTGGTGGCTCCCCTCCAGGTCTGCTGAGAGGAGACCTCTTCCTCCAGGGGAGGGTGGATGGGCTGGCCTCTGGCATCCCCTGCCGTTGGAAGCTGCAGAAGTGAGCACCTCTCAGGACAGGCAGGGGTCTCGCTCACTTGTGGAGTGGGTGCCACAGGCATGTTTACTGCAAACAGTGCTGCAAGTCTGCAAGTGGTTCACATTTAGTTTTTAGTGACAAGGTTCAGAGCTCTCCCCGTAAGAGGGCTTCGTCCACTCCCTTGAATCCTGACTGATTTATTGAGTGGGAGAGTGAGGGTGAGGTCACAGC